TACCAGAGTTGTTTAGAGATCAAAATAAGTATATTCTAGTAATGTTGCCAAGAACAGCTCCATGGAAATAAGTTTTTTTTAACACAATAGTTTGATTACAAATGATGAGTTCATTTGCATCTGGTGCTCTGTGTACTGGGTGCAGCTCTGACTGCCATACCCCCGACCCAGAAATGGATTTTGGGGAAGAAAATAAAATGGATGGTTGGATGTATTTTTCTAGTTGCAATCTCCAACATGTTTTAGTGTTGGAATTTTCTCAAGAAGGGATAACACTATTTGTATGGCACTGAAATAGTGTCATACTATTACGTTTTTTTTTTTTTTACTATTTGGTAAAGGGTATATTGTGTACTTTTCTGAGTTAATTAACTATTAACATTAATTCTGCAATGATTATCTGATCGAGTCATAGAACCTTTTTACAGCTGTCTATAATTCAGAAAGAAATTGATCCATTTTTAAATCAAATCTGCTTTTGCCCCAAGGTTCTGTTGGAGCCTGCTGTGTTCTGGTCTGACTGTCCTCTGCTTGGCTGCTCTACTCTTGTGGTCTGGGACTGGTCTGAGCTGTGGTCTGGGACTGGTTTGAGCTTGGGCACATGGACCATTGTTGCAGACTTCATTGAAATGTTGTAAATTATTGAAACTATGATCATTCAGTAAGTCTCTGCTTAGACTGCAGCCCCCCTCGATCCAGCAACAGATAAAGTGGAAGAAAATGGATAGATGGATCTTCAACGTTCAATAACTGTATCCACAAAAAGTAAAATATGTACATGGGGTGGAGTAATACGTGTTTCTTCTTCCCAGTTGTAGATATTCTTATACATATTATGGTGAAAATGTTAAATATTGCTTGTGTCTGTGTAAGGAGATATCTATGCATGTGTATGTATTTGCTATATTTACAAATGTGGCGAAAATGTTATAAATGTAACTTTTTTAATGCTCAAATCAATGAATTAAATCAATTAATAATGTTTCAGCTTTAGTTTTGTCTAATAAATTCTACCTTGTCCCATCCATATTCACTAAAATACAACTTTATTTTTTATTTACAAATCTATTCCAGAACCAGACTCATTCTAGTGACGCCTCATATCATATCAACTCTCTGAGGATTGAATGAATACCACCACATAAACTGTATAAAATGGGAAAGTTTCACATGAAAGATAATGTGAGATAAAAGCCCAGCGCAATTTTGATGTTTTTCCACTTCTCGTAATCACATTTTCCTCAGTATGTTAAAATATGAGCTCCCGTTATAAATATGAACGGCCAGTACGGGTCTCAGATGGGAGAAGGAGTCCACACTAAGCGGCGTCATGCCCCCTCACTTAGCATCACAACAAGCCCTGTGTGAACGCCAACAATGTTACCACAAACACCGGTAACGCATCACAAGTTTAAGCAGGTTTACACACAAATTCAATCAGGACTTTTCAGCCGCTTTTTTTCTCTGTATCGCTTTCAATTCATATGAAATAACACATGAAAAATAAAATCGAGGAGTTTTATTCAGATATGATTTCATTCACTACAATGCATTTTAAAAGAAAGTTATATATTTATTGGTACTTGCCTGTGGCCAAGTTTTAGGATCGCGCAAAAGTTCTGGCTGTTCAGGACCTTTATGAATGCAAAATGATTTCCTTTGATTAAATAAAGAAGTGAGTGAATTAGTGGCTTCTTCAAGGATGGAGTCATTTGTAGCGTGTTTTATTTGTATGGCACAGATTTATACTGTTTGTACGTCAGGAAATACGAGGAGAGGAGCTGTGTTATTGGGAGTGACCACGGACAGTGTATTATTTACTTTCACTTATGAGCACTTTTTTACAGTTATGCAAAACTAGTCCAGTGTCTTGTCACAGTAATAATGAATGCACAGGGTCTATTTTTTATTTAGTCTTACAATTTATTTAGTCTTACAATTTATTTAGTCGACAGAGACATTGCATTTGGATCATTATTGGGGTAAAAAGAGACAAAATGTGGACTGAACACTAGGTTTAGATCCTTGTCCCAAATGAAGCAGACAGGTAGATGTGCGCCCTGAGGTTTTAAGTCATTCTGTCATTTTATATTCTTCATGTTTATGTAAGTAAGTAAGTAATATTTATTTATATAGAACATTTTACCGACCAATATCCCCAAAAGACGCTGCAGCCCAGAGCTCATACGTCTGCTGTAGTTATATTCTGGGAGTTATGCACTTTACATCAAACTGTGCAGTGTTGTTGAAGCACTAAACTTCATTTCTCTGGGACTATGGCAATACATTGAATCTTGATCTTGACAGCTTCCCACTTGGAACTAGTATTTTCAAACTAATGCTGTCAAACAACTAAAATACTTAAAGTGATTGTCTGGAGTTGGATTTCTTTCTGATTGGTCTATGCCTACGTTTCCGTAAAAATCAATCAAAACATTTCAATATTAATCAGAGAACACATTATACATATACATTATCAATACACATGCACGGAGGTTTTCAGAATTATTTGTTAACGCTTTAATGACAAAAATAATGTTTTAATGCACAAAACAAAGCGATTGCGGTAAACCCGGAAGTAGCTATCATGAATTCAACATTGTAGGACACATCTGCAAAGGATCTGATTATGGATATAGGTTCAGTATATAAATGATTATGGATATAGGTTCAGTATATAAATGATTATGGATATAGGTTCAGTATATAAATGATTATGGATATAGGTTCAGTATATAAATGATTATGGATATAAGTTCAGTATATAAATGATTATGGATATAGGTTCAGTATATAAATGATTATGGATATAGGTTCAGTATATAAATTATTATGGATATAGGTTCAGTATATAAATGATTATGGATATAGGTTCAGTATATACATAAGTACCTCAGCGCGGATGTTTAGAATTCTTTGTTCAGTTTTCATGTAGTTTCAGAGCCTAATAGAGGCTTGATTCGAAGGCTCCGCGAAAACAAACAACTGAGCATGCGCACAGCTGCGAGCGTCAGCGCTGATGATTGACAGCCCTTGGCATCACTTGATTGAGCTATAGCTAAGAGAAGGGAAGGCGGGACTTACCCGTAATATTAGAATTAATAAAATGACTTATTTTATATCAACATTTAAGGCCAGGAGGTCAATTTAACACAATTCTTAAAATTTGTAATTCATTTAGAGTTCCAGAATATCACTTTAATTGCAATGAATGATATTAATGTCATAGTTATAGTTATACAAAAAAAGTAATTTGACGAGCTGTAAATGTGTGGTGCTTGTTAGCCCAAAATACGACCCACACATATTTTCTCTAAAATGAATTTGCGTTAACGGCATCAACAACGCGTTTCACTGACAGCACTACTTTCAAATTCTAATTCAACTGTATTCACTCACCAGATGATGAGTCCAGATAAAACCACGCCCCATGTGATGCAGCAGGTTTCTGGCCTCTTGGTTTCCTCGTCGACGTCATGGCGACACAGACACAGCCACAGCAGGTACGAGGCCAGGGTCAGCAGGCTCACGCAGAGGCCCAGGGCGCCCAGGAACGCAAACGCCACGACAGACTGCAACAGGCACACATCATGCACCACTGTTACATTCTAGAATACTTAAATTATTATATAAACATAGTATGTAGAGGCAAAATCTCCCATTTGTCCTGAACATTAAGTTAGTACATGATTACATCCAAAACTTGGTCTGCAATAAATACACAGTAAAATATTACAGCAAGAAAAGGATAAAGACTATTAGAACTAACAAAAAATATGCCAATGACTATGTTGAGATAAGGTGACACAAATAGTAAAGATGACAAAAGTGTGTTGTCTGGTTAAAACAGTCTCTAATCTAAAAAGGGTTGTGTTTTCAATCAATCTACATTGGTCAATTCATTTTTTATTATAGTCCATTTCTCTATTTTACATCCCCATGGAATCTGATACATCGCATTTTTTGTGTAAAATAAAAATAAAAATATTAATTGAGACGCCAAATGAATCAGACCAACATTTTTTCTCACAATGACCAATTCGTTTTTCCGTGTTTGTGGTATTCAGCTGCGGATACAAAAAACAAAGAATACTTGGCAACTTTTTACTCATACCAGTTACAAAGAAATAAAAAAAGGCCTCTTTTAGTCGTATGCATGTTCAATTTTGGCCTTTTCTAATTGAGAATAACAAAAAATCATAGTATTGTGTTAATGCAATGCTAAGGTAAGTTTAAAAAGTAATCATCTGGACAGGTTTTCACCATTTAGCGGTTCACCAGAGGGAATACACAACTTTCTAATACTTTGCATTTTCACATTAAAATATCATGTAAATTAATAAGTATAATTAGTACAGAACATTGATTGGACAAAATTAATTATAACAAAATAGATTACATTACAAAACACATTTTTAAGCAAAGATTCAGTATTCAGTAGCTAAATACATTTTCTAAGTATTCTCCAACACTTCAGTGGTTAGACACATTGTACTGTATGTAATAACATGGGTAAGTATGGATGAGGTAATAACTGTAATGTTGTATTTTGGGATATTAAACACCAACAGGATGCACTTCTGATGATAATAATAGATAATGAGTATAGAAGTAGCTCTGAAGAGATTTTTCTGTTCATAAGCAACTCATATAACTTCCTATTTTGGTATTATTAGTTAAAATATGGCTATTGGTATGGATTGTCTTAAAGATGAATGAAAATATTCTTGACAATACATGCATTATCCATCTTCAGGACAGTACCTATCATTTAATTTATGATCCATAATCATGATAAGAGTATTTCCTTATCAGGCAGCACACAAGCAGAGACACAAGACTGAGAGAAATGCAAAAAGGCTTTAACGTTGGACAGAGAACGCTGACAAGTGTGAGAACCACTGCTCCATACTGATAAGAGTAATAATCAGGAGTGACAAAGTGACAATCCTGGGCTTGTGATTGATTTATTGGGGTGGCCACAATCTGAAAAGGGTAACAGCTGGTGTGAAAACTACCAGCCAGGGGTCTGAAAGGTCAACTTGTAGCAGTTTTTGTGCCCATTACAAAGATGGCAGAAACATTAGAGAAGCTTGTTTGTAATCTTACACTAAACTCAACTGAACAAAATATGTTTTCAGTCATTGTCGCCAAGTAACATAGGGGATTTTGACAACAGCAGCAGCAGGAGGAAAACAGAAATGTTCTAAGGCAGTGGAAGGAGGGAGGTCATGTGACGGCAGTGCTTTCCTTCAGTCTTGTGATTAATGGTTTGAGTATGGTTTAAGTATTCCAGCCTCAAGGAAGTAAAAAAGCACTGACATAAGGATTGTACTGTCCCACAAATACTTCATTATGCAAATGTAAGTCTTGAAGAATCTCCCCTTAGACAGCTCTTGGTTTGAGTTTTTGATCTTTGTAAGACCAAAAACATCACTTATGCAGAGTTAGAATCTTCTTACGTAAAAATGGAGAAATTTCTTGTAAAGAAGGTAGAAAAAACCCTAATACAACAAGATACCAAAAGCACCTTCAGAAAATGTGGATATACCGGTTAGTATAGACTAGAGCAACAAAATGCTACACTAGGCCGAGAACGAAACCATGCAGTGGCTCCAAACCTGTGATCTGACTTCATTTTGTTAATCACTTCCAAGTACTACTAAACAGCAGTTCAGTTTCTTTGTTTGTGATGATTCCTCTCCTCCACTACCAGCACTTTTGTTTAGTAATTAGACATGGCACACTTCAATTTCCACACCCTGCTACGCTCTAATGAGTATAGATAAATAAGAGAGAAAGTCCACATTCTGAATGTTATTACCACGGGACAGAGCTGTGTGACAAATGTTCTGTTCTGACTTCAAACACCACACGCCAAATAAACAACTTGTAGTGTGGCAGGTTATAATGGCCTTGTCAGTGTTATGGACAGCTGAGAGGGTGAACACCACTCTTCTATGAACAGCAGCAGGAGTCAGTGTCCCAGAGACGTGGCTGAGGAAAAGGATATTCGCCCTATTGCATGTAGGCCCGAAGATGCCAAAGATCACTGTTAATATTGAAAATGTACATTATCATGAAATGGCATAAGTTTCAAGAAAATAGGAACAATATTTAAGAATATGTAAGAGTAGAGGAAATGTGCATGGCTTAAGTGTATGAGTAGGATAGGATATGTTTTTTCTCATAAGGCATGTGACTTTCTTTGGGAAATAAACAAACATATTGCTTCAACGTGGAATAGTTTTAGTAGCATCATTAGTCTGTTTCTATTGGCCCCTGAAGTTGGCATAAGAAATAAAACGCCTGTAAAGGCAGTGTTTATGTTCTGAGACAGACCTAAAGGCGATAATACTGGTCATGTGTCGTCATGTGAGTGATGCGCGCTACTGTTAAGCACATGCACACACAAAACAAAACAGAAAGAAAACTTTCTAAATAAACGTTAACACCACATTAGCCTCGTGGCTGGTGTTGTTTGCATTTACCTCATGCTCATAATCGATTTGTAAAGTCTGCCGCTCATAATTTGGAAATGGAAGATCGTGCGTCTTGACGCACAGGTCCGTTTACCAACCTGCTGGTAGCTGGGCTCCTCCGGTTTGAAAGTGTTGTCCACGGACTCAAAGACAAAGTTAAGGTGAGGGAAATTGTGGAGCCAATAAGTCCACCACGGAGCGACGTAATCGAGCCTCGCAGTGGCCATTTCTGCTCCAAAAGAAACGCTCCCCCGCTGCCAGTCAAGCGCTGACACTTGTCACTTCACACGAACTTGTCTCCAGTTTGTCCCACAGTGGAAAGACAACAGAAACACATTCGACTCGCCAAAGGTGGGCTGAATGGAAAAGAAAGGTTCAAATGGATGCGTAAATATTCACAATAAAAGGTTTCCTGTTACGTTGGCTCAGAGGCAGTTAACCTCCTCCTCCCTCCTCTCGGACCGCTCATCCCTGACACGCGTCTGTCTGGGGATGTGAACCTGCCTCGATCCTGCAAAGAAGGCGTGACCAAACTTAGCCTGGGTCACTTTTGGAGCGGTCACTCTGGTTTGTAAAGCAATTTCGTTTCAGAATTAATTGATTTCGACTGAAATATATGTCGGACCTGCATTCCAGTTTTAATTGCGCTTTCTTTAACAGCACTTTATCATTTCTGTAAACAGCAAGAAGCCAAATACCCCGAGCCCTAACATTTGTAAGCCTGTTTGCTATGATCATCTTTTCAGAAGTATTCACTCTCTGTGACTGTCAGTTTTGCTCTGTGTTTGTGGCTGCCACACTTTGAACAAAGCTAATACTGGTCAATGCACTATTTATGACTTGTGCTGTTAATGGCTGACCTCTTGTGGACAAGGAGGCGCAGTGAGGTGAGCCTAACGCGATTGATGCTTCATGGTTCACTACATTCAGTCTGTTCTGAGAACAATACCACTCTATTATTTAAGAGTTGCTAACAATTTTATCACATGTGTGTGTGTTTTCCCACTGTCCCTGAGAAGTCTAAGCTTTTAGGTTTCAAGGCAAGACTAGTTTATTTTGAAAGCACAATACGAATCATACACATACAACACACACAATCACAGTACATTGTGTGGATATAATCTTTCAGCAAAACAGAAACGAAGCTAAAGCGGAAGTTCAGACTGGGACAGAGTCCTCCCACTGCTACTGCACCCACAGCAGCCAATCACACCCAGCTGCAGCACCTGGGTGCATTCAAACAATGTCGTGCAGTAACCCTCCTCCTCCCTATCAGCCTGTCTCACATTTTCAGGAAGACTGTTCCGTATTTATGTAACTTAAATCTGAAACTTTTTAAAAACAATTTACAGTTTGTCTATAGTTTGTCTAAATGTGTATTCTTGACATTAACATAATGTATATATTCTTTTAATAGCACAATAACTTAACTCAAATAAACAACACTTAAATTATTTCACAAATTCAACACAAAATGTGAGTTCTTTGTCCTGTTAGTTTAGGAAGATTTCCATGTCTTGGTAGGTTTGTAGTTATACCGTACTCATTCCATTATTGATGATGAATACTGTACACTAAAAAGTACACAAAAGTATATTATAGCAGAAATTCAGCCATCATCACCAACAATATAAGATGTTATCTTCAACCCCATCTTTAAAGGGCCAGAGTGGCAGCATGTTTTCAAGCCGGAGCGCACACCAGACTCCACCCCTTTCACCAAGCTCGTCCAGTCTTAGGCCCTGTCCACACGAAGTCAAGCTCAGGCCTAAACGCAAAAATACTTTATCAATCCAGTGTATCGTCCATACGAGGCCGGCGTTTTGGGGGGGTGTAAACGAACATTTTTGAAAGTAGGTCCAAGAGTGGAAAGATTTCAAAACTCCGTATATGCCGCTCCGTGGTTACTGCCTCTCCGCAATGTATCTGAGACGCTTGCGTCATCGCCCCGCCTCTTGTTAAAGCACGCATGCGCCGCACTCAGAAAATAATGACAACAACAATGTAGCTTGTTGGTTTTGTAATCCAGTGTGACCCGAAGCAACAGTTCAACCTCATCGTCCGTCCATACTAATGTAGTACCAGCTCGCCCACTCGCCATGTTGTCTGTTTACAAAATTCTGCGCATGCCCAGTTCCCGTCACGGAAGTTTGGGCTTGATCCCGTCATTGCGTCACAGCGCCACCAACAGGTCTGGCATAGTTTCACAGCGTTTTCAGGCGTATTGACTACATTCATATGGACTCACACATTTACTGAGCTAACTCCGTGTTTAAAGAAAAATTTTCTGAAATTATAAGCGTTTTGTCTTCATGTGGATATAGCCTTAACCTGAAGACATGTTGCTAAAGTTATTTTCAACCCCATGATTTTACGAGCCTAGCATACAGTATGAGTATTCTTCTTAGTATTATCCACACTATCCTTATCTCCAGCTCCCCGTATCCTTATCCCCAGTGTGGACTTTTTTCTGATTGACATTCTCTGCACAGTGAGTGAGGCTGGCCTGGTGTGGCTGCGGTCATTCGACTGGAGCAGGATTATTTGGCCGCTTTGATGCACCTTCGTGAACACAGCTCCGACCGCACTTAGCAGGTGACACTTGATACAGTTTACAGCACATGAATATGAATCTGCATGCACGGCCAATTCACTTTGTTCAAGTTTGGGGGCCACAAATTTTCTCCTGACAATCACCTCTTAACCTCTGCTGTGGTTTTGAAAGGAGTGTGTTTCTGTCTGTGTGTGTGTGTGTGTTTTTATGTGTGAGAGAGAGTGTGTGTGTGTGTGTGTGCGTGTAACAGACTCAAAACTCTGTTAGGATGATATTGTTTTATTGCAAAAATGTTCTTATATTTAATGCGTTTTTTTCAGTAGAATTAAAGGTTTTTTAACTATAGCCCAAAGTAATTGTGACTTCACTGGACAAAACTGGTCAGTTATAAGCAAGTGCACAACATTCAATCACCAATGTCGATAAAAGTGACTAAATGTCCTCAAATTACATATTTCCCACTTCATGCATATTGTATCTATCATCTCATACGTAATCATCATGTGTTCTATATCTATGTAAAATGTCATATTTGCTTCGGTTCATTTCAGCTCAAATCACTGTAAAACGCAAAATATGTGTTCTTTTTTGTTTGCATTAAAACCCCATTATGTAGCAAGTCCGCAGAAAACAAACTGCTCAAATATGAAATATTCCTGTTGTTTCTCGCTGTCTGAATATGGTCTAAAAATGTTAATGAATTTCAGACCACTTATTATTGTTTTAATCATTTTATTATTATTTATTTATGGTGCCCTGTGGCCAGAGGAGCTGAATGTGTGTCTGAAATGGGAAGGGACGTTGAATGTGTCTTTTTCTTCTTTTTTTTTTTGCGCAAGACTCACTAGCAATGAGGTCAAACCATTAGGTGGCAGCCCAGTGCTTCTCCACAGCTCACCTTATCCACTTCTCAGTCCACTGTCTTCTCAGGTGCCGCATGCAGGAAACAAAACACAAGCTCACTATTCCAGAGCAGAGCAAAGTGAAACATAATCTTAATGAAGTTTATTTCATAGAACATGTCAGAGTCTTTCATCAAACCTACAGTAAATCTCCAGGGTCCATCCCTTGGCTTTACTGACGGTATGGGAAACGCACATCAAAAAGCACTTTGAAATCACCATGCTGAGTCAAAAGAGCCCACGACAGCTCACCCGGAGAGCGACAAAACTCAAGGTCACGACAAGAAATAACATTGTCACTTTTGAATCACAAATTTTCCTTGAGAAGCTGATAAAATTCCGGCCTTGACTTTCTTTATTGGGCAAGCACACTTCACCTGGAGCGGGCCCAGGCGGATTCATAAAAAAACCAGCACATCCAGGACTGGCGTTTGAAGAAAAAACCTTGCACTTTTTGACTTCCAGTAAATTGACTTTTTAAAATACATCTCTGCAAAGGCATATTTAAAATAAGAAATGTATGAGATGCCCGGACACAGGCAGACACATGCTGGATGGTTTGTTAATGCTTCTGCACGCGGAGGAGGGGAAAAAAGACAACACTTGAAACAGCCCTGCCTTGTAGTTGCCTCCTCATCACCGTGGCTGAAGAGTCCTCCTCCGGCGTTGGATTTACTTCCTGATTGACTGTCTCCATAACAATCACCGGAATGATTGGTTGCTTTAAAAGTGTTCTGAAGAGCCTCATCCACCCTCTCACGCTTTCTATATATTACGCAGCCTCCCACTCCCTCAGTAGAATAAGGAAATGGCTTGTATTAGACTTTCCCTTTTTCGCGGTTATTGCATTTTCTTTTAGGATTTGTGACTGAAATCCCTTTGCTCTGCGTTTGACTGATTGATGTCGTGGAGCTCAATGTGCCGGTGTTATCCAATCAAACAGGACTTCTCAGTGGACACCCAGATTACATTAAAGTGTTATATCAAAGCAGTGCAATATCAACTCAAATTGCCTTTTTGGGGAAACGGGGGGACACCTTCAGACTTCATAGTTTAGTTTCTGATTTTGTTGTGTGTATAAATGAAAAAAAATCGCGGCGCCACATTTAGTTTATTATCTCAATAAGTGTGAGAGAGAAAAACAATAAGCAAATGAAAGTGCTGTGGATAAAATCTGTTTTCATTTCCAAATTAAATCTAATCTTCTAAAGACTCCACCGTGTTGCATTTGTAATTTAATTTAACTTGTTTGTCTTGTTTTCCTCTGTATTGGAAGGAGAGCTGGGTTTTCTTTCACTTCACGACAGAAGTTTAAATCTATCCTCATTTCAGTGTAGCCTGGGTTAGGGTTTATCAATAAGTGAAATAAAAATAATAATACGTGAGAGAATGCTTTTAACTTGTGTTTTGTTGTTGCTTTTCCTCAATATAGGTTTGAATATTTGTTTGCTCGATTTAAAAAAATGAGAGAGAAGCCCGCTCAGGCCTGACCAGACTCAACATTTGGAGATGGCCTATGAGCTGCTCTCACAATCTGCCCCAGTGAATTGTGGGATTAATCGAAGATCTGAGAAGGAACTCTCCCTGGGACGAATCACTGAAATAATCGAACTCTTCTGTATTAGTTGTTTGATTCTCTGATCTGTGTTGGTCCTCCGGGATACTGTTGCGATTTAGCGCTATATACAAAAAGACATACTTTTTAGCCATAACAAATGCACTGCAAAAAAAAGTTATGAAAAAGAAGTCAAATATTGCTCAAGTTTTGCAA